TTTCTTTGGAATGGGAACAAATATCAATCTTTTCCAGTCAGTGGGCCAGCTGGCTGTTCTCCAAATTGCTTGGCACAACTTAGTGAGTACATCCAGGCCTGTGTCTGTTGAAATATGTCAATTGGTATGCCATCAACTCCTGGAGCCTTGTTTCTTGCCTTGTCTTTTACAGTCAGAAGTTGATCAAAAGAAAGATGATCAAGTTAAAATAATTGGAAAAAAATCCAAAAAAATTACTTGACAAATTAGAAAGACAACAATATACTATATTGGTTGTTTTTTTTTCTATTCAAGCCTCTTGTTTAGAGTCAACAAGTCCTTGGGGAGGGCCATTGTATTTAAAATCAATTGTTGTTATATTTTGGAGGAACATTCTTCTTAGTGGTACAGCACTCCTCTGTAAATATGTTGTACTGAGGTAACCTGGGGTTGCTGTGATACTGAACCTTGTGCCATTGGGAAGTCAAATGCCATAATGGTTACCCATGATGGACAGTGTTTGGTGAAGCTCCCAGGTTAAGACAGGTTTGGAAGCAGGAGTGGCATCCATTTCCTAAACAACATGCCTCCAGAAACTATGAAATTTGATAAATTTCAATAGTTATAGAAATGCTTCAATCCTTTTGTTCATAAGGTCACTATGAGCCATGCTCAACTAGGAGACAATCAACAAATTAACAAAATAGGGAACGCTTGTGGTTTATGGTAAAGAACCGTGCTACAAACACAAAGGTACATAATTCAAATCTACCAGCTGCTTTTTAGGAAAAAGATGGGCAACTACTCCCCAGAGATTAACCGCCTCTGAAACCCAATGTAGGGTCAGCTATGGGTCGGTTCTGATTTGATGGTACACAACAATAACATGGGTAAAATACTGAGAGACATATTGAAAATAAGATGGAAGGAAGAAACAAAGTGACTATAACAAAAAGAATTTATTTTTGAAACCACTCTTTAACAAAACGCAAATTGTAGTTTTTAATTTTGTCTGGAAAGAAAAGGGACCTCAAAAAATTAAAGCACTAATGAAAAATGATTGTGGAACAGACCACCAATTACTCATATGCAAGTTCAAGCTGAAGCTGAGGAAAATGAAACCAAATCCACAGGAGCCAAAATATGACTTTGATTTCATACCACCTGAATTTCAGAATCATCTCAGGAACAGGTTTGAAGCCTTGAACACTAACGAGC